TGWGAGARRRARARRKGAAATACTGATTTTGGTYAAGTCCCAYAAAGWTTACAAGTGCTSGAGSYGTAATTTCAYCCAAAACYTTGAGATCTGGTGTAATAATWRCTATTTCYAGTRTATTTTAGCACAGCAGAGTAAATTTGAGAACTAACTTAGCATCATTCTCTTTGTTGCTGAACTTAGGTTGCTGTAAACATGCAGCGAGTGGTATATTTGCTCTATAGCCATATTTTCTTTGGACTTCTTCTAACTAAAGAATGAAATCTGAGGAAGTCTCAAATGAGAGCTTTTGTTAAACAGATGCCAGTGCCTTTTATGTACAGAATATCATATCTACAGTTATGATATCTGCACAGAATGTAAATTTTCTTACATTGCTTTTAGACTCTTGAGTGTTTAAAAGGAAAATTTGCTCATCCAAAACTGAATTAGAAGAATCTTGGCCTGTGGATTGATAAAAAAAAAAACAAAAAACCCAGGACAATTGGAAACTGTCAGGGCATTTTTCTGGTATAACAATAAAATCAGATAGTTACAAATATTTATGAAAGAGAATGTGAATAATAATGAAACCACATCACTCATTATTGTCTTCRTTGTGTCTTGGATTTGGTTCAGTTGCTGTGGTATTGGGGTGGAATGAGCGAGGCACAGATAATTTTCCTCAAGAATTGTTTTGACWTGATAGATATGTGACCCTTGGTTTCAGATACAAATATAAATGGGATATGCTAAGGATTTATTATAAATAAACCCTTAAATGGCTCTTGTTGTTGTGTAGGTGTTCGAAGCCCCACTGAGCCTGCCTGCAGRGTGGTGTTTGAGAATGAACAGGACAACGGCCGGAAGCGCAGCCTGGTGACCTCGGAGCCACAGCACGTCACCCTCATCGTCTTTGGCATAGGGATGGTGAACAGAACCCACCTGGAGGCTGACATTGGTGGCCTCACCATGGAATCCGAGCTGAAGAGAATCCATGGAAGCTTCACTCTGAAAGAAAAAATGAAAGGTGGGATGAGCTGAGTGTTCTCTGTTATTAAACTCACTGCCAGCTTGACATGTTTATGTGCATGTGTAATATAATAATATTCAACAAGTTCTTTGAAAAACCATGACTAGGATGCTGAAGGATTTTAAAAGGATGCAAGATTTTGAAAAATTGCCATGGAGGAAATTCTATTGGAAGATAGTCGCTCATTTTCAAATGCTTTCTTCTTGTCACAATTTATAGTTGTCATCACTTAATGTGACCACAAAAGCTGTAATTTTTCACTTTCCTGCTGCAATATTKTTAAAAGCAGTAAATATACCTGAAGTATTTTACTGACTGAAATGCTGTTAAATACTGCTTTTCCCTAAAGATGTGCTCCATCAAAAGATGACTGAGACATGTGCCACTGCTCACATAGGAGGTGTCAATATCGTCCTGCTGGAGGGAATTACTCCAAATATCCAGTAAGTTGAAAGTCTCACAATTTACAGTAGTTCAAGTGCATAGAAATTGTATGAGTTGTGTATTTTTTGCTTTTTGAAACTTGTAGGTTCAAACCATACAAGATTTTTAGGGACTAGTTAATCTACTGATGCTGATTATTCCTGTTTAAGATCTATAGGGTTTTTTTAAAAGGTGTATTTTTCAATTCTCATGATGCATCACTCTTTGTTCTCTCATGTTATTTTTGCATTTCTCATATCCCTTCTCCACCCTTTATATAATTGACACAACTTGGCAGGGGAGGGGGAGAGAACCATTCTTGTGCATGAACATTGTGAATCACTGGCTCAGCATCCACACTCTTTGGGGTTTGTTTTTCTGCTGCCAGGTTCACAAACAAATAAGCCATGCATTATTTTTCTTTGTTCCTAGCTGCATCTCTTTCTGTTTGAGTTGCAGAACAACAGCTGAACCACAGCCCTTTGCAGCACAGATCACCCTCACACCCTTTGGGTGTTACCTGGGTAACCCTCAGTATGTGGTCTGGTCTCAGAACATCACTCTTGTAGGAAAGGGGCTAAACAATGGGACTTGAGTTCTTCTCTCTCCTTTTAGTTCCTTGATCGTTTGGAAGATGCCACACAGAACTTCAAACATGTAGAATGTTATAATTTCTTTGGCTAAATTGCTTCCAATAAGGTTGTTTCAGAGGGATAAATCAAAGTTCCAATTTGACAGTCCTGAAGGGCTTCTGAAGGTGACTGAGGCTCTTCATGTCTGTTTTACATATAGGGAGGGTGCAGAAGGAAAGGTGGGAAATAACAATAAATCTTTAAAGCAAAGAACAAATATGAGCAAAACTAAAACCTTCAACTTGGTAAATTTGAGAATAAATGTCATATTGTGGGTTACAAGTAATTAACTGACTAATTTTGCATGACTGTTTATTCTTTATTTGCTTTGTTTTTGTTTTTTTCTTGCTTTCTCTTCAATCTTCATCTGTAGACTGGAGGATTTTCCTACATCTCCTACAAGCACAGCCAAACAAGAGTTTCTGTATGTCATATTATTATGTTTAATAGTCTTGCAATTAACTCTGTGTTGTGTAGCTAATGGCTGCATTCCTACTATGTGTGCCTCTATAGGCATATGTTGCTTGAGTACATTTTGGTTTAACATCTGTTGTTTTCTGGTATTAAGCTTTTTTTCATGAAGTCTGCTCAGTATCTGCCAAAAAAAGGTCTTTGTAAATGTTAGCAATATAGTTTTAGGGGTTCATATTGTACTGTACTCACTGCTGTAATGTTAGAATGGTTTCACTGGCCCTTAAGTTCTTTAGATCTGCCTCTGCTTATTTAATGAGCTGAAATACTGTTGATAAATGTAAGGGAGCAYACAGGGGAGATTGGCTTTGGAACTGCTGTGCTCTGAGTGATATCCCTGTTTGGTGTCACCATGAAAAGGATCATTCCTTTTTGTCGTTACCTGTGTGCTGTGTTAACTACCAGGCATCCTGCCCAGGTTATGCTAACTCAAAATGTGTTCCTCAAAACCTCTGCCTGTGCATCAGCTGCTGTGAAGGTGCCCCTTTTCATATCCCCCAGATCTGTGTGTGTGTGCAGGGCCTCCATTCTCACAGTGTCTGTTTATTCAGCATTTTAGTAATACAGGATTAACTTTAAAATGTCCTTATAGCTCTRGAGGGAGAGGTGATGGACTGTAAAACTGCAAGTGATGTAGAGAAAATAGTGGGATTTTTGCTCCTTTTTGTCTGGTAGCAGCATTAAACCASCAGAAGTAATTACTTGTTTTCATAGTGCATCACTGAGGGGTTGAATTCCCTGCTCTATGATGTGGTAAAAAAAAGTAGAAATCCATGTAGGACAGGTCTGATGGTGAGCCATGAACACAATACAGCCTCTGGCTTGCTGGAATTAAGGGAAGGATCACTATTTACACCTCGGATGTCTGCTACTGCCTGAGTTTCCAGCTGAATTGCTGTAGTAGTTCCTGTGTATTATGGGCCTCCTGACATTTTTCCCCCCAACACTTCTTACAACATTTCAAAAAATCTGTTAAGCACTGGCCTTGTAGTCAGTTCCAAGGTGGGACAAAGACTTTTTGTCACAGATTTGTCTGGAGAGTGATTATTGATGGTACTGATGTGAGAGTGTAGAATTGTGGTAAATACTGGTAWGACTTAAATAGTGATTAATGATTTTAATGAGATACAGCCAGATTTGTTACAGGCATATCACTGTAGGTAAGCAAACTGCAGATCTTTTATAATAAATGCATATTCATACAGTTGTTCCACATTTCATTGTGGCATGGAACTATGTTCTTTTGTAGGCAAGCAACAGTAAAATTAATTTGTTGCATGAAATATGGAAATACCTTAGGAGAAAAGCACAGTTAATTTTGCTGAGTTTTTTTTTCTTCTGCAGCAGCTAAATTGGTGTMATATTTTTTTAATTAAGGAAGTGTTCAAAATGGTTTGAATGCAGTGGTATTTCATGTTATAGATGGGRTGGAACTGTGATCTTGATTGGCTTCACAACAGTTGAGTCAGAATGGTAGCAAGAAGATAACAGGAAATAAGCAAACATCAGGAGAGGAATAATTGTGGTTTTCTTTTAAAGAGGTGGATTAAAACAAGTCTGGCCTTTTCTTAAGTAATGTTTATTTGTATAATTTGTTTTTTAATTGTGAATTAAGATTTGTGTTCTCCTTCATCACATATTTTGAAATAATTTATACTTGACAGTCTGCCCTAAAATATTAATCCATTACTGCTTTAGGTCACTTGCATCTCTTGCATAGCTGTGAAAATCTGGGAGTGTTCCTTGAGCTTCAGTCAATTAATTTGCTGTTAATGGGCCAGTGGTTGCCTTACAGTTCTGTTTATTTCTTGATTATAAGCAGAAGGATTGTGTCTTTTTGTTGTTGTTGTTTGTAATTCYACATCTGGGTTGCTTTGGRCTTGCTGATWYTTTAATATGAGARTAAGAAGAAACATTACTTAGAGAATGGAATTCAGAGAGTATTGTATCTTTCACCATGACAGCAAATATGATACAAAAAGTGGTTTAGTTATGCCCCTTAAAATACAGCGTTTGAGAAACTTGCATTGAGTGTTGCAATTTTATAGACTCTTTCAGCCATTTTAGCTAATGTGTTGTATTTTGGCAATGATTTGTCCTTCTCTTTGAGACTGTCCTTCTGTGTTGGCTGCATAAAATACTTCCATTGGGTAACCCTCCAGGAATTGACCATAGAAACATKAATGTGTTGCCCCAATATCTTTTAAATAAGTGTTTAATGAATTCTGCTATGCCAAAATTCTGTTACGACATCAAAAATTGCCAGCTYTGTGTGGTTATATTTTTATCTTGGGTAACCATTGTGGACCATATCCTCCTCAACATTAAAATGAAGTTTAGATGATGTATTTTGGAATAATATTTTTGGATTACACATCAGTATTAATTCACAAATTGGTTTAGCACTTGCTATGTATTTGCTGTTAAATGTTTCCTCCATTGATCTAATTGGATGCRAAAATCAGATTTTACTAAGTCTTCTAATGAAAACAATGATTGAAGATTATTCCTGAACAGGAGCTGAAATGGAAGGCTCTTTTTCTGTTTTTGTGTGTGCARATTTGTCTGTCTGTGTGCAGCCTAGTGTGTATGCACTGCAGTGACCTTGCTTTATGCAAGARTAGYAGTTKYAACAGGTATTTTTGCCGTGCATGAYGTGTAGTTCCCTTAAGTGCAGCGGGGTTGTTTGTGGCATGTAGTGCATCCTTGTGTATAAAGTGAAGTAGTTTACAAGCAAAATTACTTCAGCAGTCAGCTACCTCTGAAAAACTCAATTTAGCCTCAAACTGTTATGATGTGCAAATAACTGCTGTTCCCTTGTGCTGTCAGAACCGTGGTGAAGTGCAGCATTGCCAAATCACAGGCCCTGTACAGTGCTCAGAGGGGGCTGAAAACCAACAACGCAGCCGTGGTGAAGGTGGGGGCCATCAGCATCAACATCCCGCAGCACCCGGCCACGCTGCACAGCATGATGGTGCGCAGCTCCCACCAGCTCTCCAAGCAGATCTCCGACCTCATCCGCCAGCCCTCCACCGCGTGAGTGCCCCCAAATCCTGTCCCCCGCCGGCATTTTGCCCTTTTGGGTGTCTGTGGGACAGCCAGGAGTAACAGGGAGGGTTTCCTGCTCTTTGTGCACAGGCCCCAGCCAGCCAAAGAAGAYGTGGCCACTCCTCTGCCCTCTGAGAAAACTCCAACGAGCATCAATCAAACGCCGGTTGAAACCAATGAGTTCCCCCAGCTGCCAGAAGGCTTGGAGAAGAAGCCCATAGTGCTTAAATTCAGTGCCATGATAGATGGGATAGCTATTGGAGCAGCGCTCTTRCCCTCCCTGAAGGCAGAATACAAGATGGGAAGAATGAGGAGCCATGGAATGACAGGTAACACTTCTCTTCTTTTAGTTTGGCCTTCCCATAAGCATCTAAGAGCACTCAGTATTTCTGTTGAATCAAAGCCAGAGCTTTGAATCTGTTGCCATCAGCTTATATTTGTTTTAATGTGGGCTTCAATCAGATGGGCCCATATAGAGAAATGGCACTGTGGTTGTTAAACACAGTTCCCAGAGGCAGCATGTATGCATTGATATATAGCTTCCTTCCCAAAAGCTTCCCTCTGACTGCTAAAATCGGTTCATGGTCCTTGATTTATAAATTCTAATTTGTAATGCTACTTGAGAATAGTCTTGTAGGGCCTCAGTACACCTGAGATGGTTTTTATTACTCCTTTCTCCGACGTATTACTGTGGAGTCTTCATTTTCTTTAAAAATAAAGAAAACCCAGAATCATCTGGGTGGATATTCATAGTTCTTTACGTCTGTGCACTTCAACTTAATCTTAAATATTCTTCTTCTATTATTCCAAAACTGTTCTTAAATTAAAGGATAAATAAGAGATTCTTTTGCCAGTCCCTACCTTTTCTTTTCACACCTTCCTTTTACAGGTGCCCAAACCAGATTCAATTTTGAGCTTCCAAACCACAGACTGCGCTTCACTTCAAAAGTTTCTGCCACGGACATGTCAACCATTCCTCCTTCAGCCAGTCTCAACCTCCCTCCTGTCACCATGTCAGGGAAATATGTCATGGAAGAGCACGACACTTACTCTGACCAGATTTGGAGCATTGATGAGCTCCCTGCCAAGCAAGGCTACTAYCTGCAGGGCAACTACCTGCGCTGTGTGGCTGAGGTAGGTCTTGAAGMCTGCAGCCTTGTTATTTCCCCTCTGTTACAATTGTGTCTGTGCATCTTCATGTTGTTTTATCAGCCTGCCTCCTCCACAACTCTCAGGTTTACAGGTTGRATCCAAACACTGAGAAATTTGAAGACTGTTACATTGTTTTATAGTTGGTTTATTTAATCGTGATTAGACAGCTCCATAAGAAGAATAATGACATAGAATCTTAATGATATAAAATTTTCTGCTCAACACAGTACATTCTATTCACAAGTTCTATTTGTGTGCCAATTTTCCACAGTTAATTTTCCCAGAGAGAAAAGTAATGCTGCTTAAAAGCAGGGGGCATTTCTACTAAGTGTAATTCTTTAGTCAGAATAGTCTGGTGTGTTTGTTACTGAGACTTCTGATGTTTGCAGCTGAAAAAATGGCTAAAAATCCACTACATTTTCTTCTGAAATGTTCTCTTTCTGCAGGTTGGCTCTTTTGAACATAATCTCACAACTGATCTTCTAAACCATTTAGTGTTTGTACAGAAAGTGTTTATGAAGGAAGTAAATGAGGTCATACAGAAGGTTTCAGGTAAGCAGAACACTTAACAGCAGCTTTAAGATCCTCAAACCTTGTTTGATGGCAACATTATGTAGCTCTCAAGATCAGCTCTTTATTTCACAGACACCCTCATTTCACCTCTATACTCCAAGCAGCAGCAAGAAGCAGAATTGGACTTTGAAATAATAACAGAGGCTCTGGAGATTATTCTAGGTCTATCATAAGCAGGGAATTTCTTGGGAAGCAGGATTTTTTGGCATTCTGGACAGCCTGGATAGCTTCTGTGTCTCTCCATGATGTGACCTTGGCTGGGTTACCTTCTATATTCACTTGGTTTCATTTGGAATGTTTCTGAGTTATCCTAAAAGGCTGTTAGAGAAATACAGCTAATTTTTAGTGGAAAGGTTCATTAATAGTTGGAAGCATCATGGGGAAAGAAAGAATAAAAAGTGGTAACTAAGAGAAAGCAGTGTCTGTGTGTACATCTACATCCTTTCATGCACCTCTGTGAGTGTATAAATACATTCAGGTATCCAAATGCAATAAAAGARCTGTGCAGGTCCACATGCTGTGCCTTCAAGGCAGTTAGAAAATGCAGTGGAGAAAATGGAAAATACCAAATTCCCYTGAAGGATAACAGGAAACACCCTGACATTTGTTCCAGCCAAAATATATTCGTATTGGCTAGTAAGAAAACGCTTAGGGGAAGAATAAGCCCTCAACAGCTGTCATTGTTCTATTAGAACATTTTTTATAGAATATACAGTGCTGAACCAGGAAGCCTGTATTAGTTTTTACACCATTTCTTAGGCTCTGCATTTCAATCTCCCCTGCATTTTTATGTGAGTAATTTATTGCCAGTGCTGGTTTTCTGCTTTTCCAGGCTGTAAATTTGTATTTCAGGTAGCAGCCTGATGGYTTTTGAAATGTGACTGTTCCCTCCCATATTGGGGTAATTCAGCAGGGATGTGGTCAAGTCAGCAATCCTTGGCTCTGAGTGCTCAGTGCAGGACAAGGGGGGCAGAAATTTGCTTTGTCCTTCTGGCTTGGAACAAAATAATTTTTTGATTATTTTGAGAATACCAATTAGTGTAGCATGTTAAAATGTGTTATCTAATTATGGTTTGTGTTGCACCAAAATATTGTTTGCATATGATCGTTACATAAAAACTGTGTAAGTACCAATTACTTAAGGKGAAGTTGCACAGATTGAGAGCTGGTTAACGAACAGAGCAGTCCATAATAATTACATCTGCAAGTTGAAGGCAGTGTTGATGAAAAGAAAATTATTCAGATGCAAAATGGAGTGATAAAAATTTACTGTTGTTGTTTGGTTTTTTTTTAATCCATGGTTTAACTGCCTGTTCTTATCACCAAATAACTGTAATTAGAAGAATTGACATATTAGGAGAGAATTAGTGGTGTAGCCTTTTCCAGCAGCAAGCTCTGCCTCAAAACTAAATAAGAATGTAGATAAATCTCAAGGAGAATTAAAACCAGGATTGCTCCTTCAAGTTAGGGCCTATGGGGGATACATAACTTGGTATGAAACGTGCCAGGATGTGGAAGTATGCCCAAAAATAAAGTAATTGCAGAATTTTCTTTCCTACTCTCATTGAAAAGTATTGATATAATTTCAGTTCCCCATTTCCTGGAATTTGCATAGTGTTTGGTCAAGTGTTAAATTTGTATTGTCAGAGAGATAGATTGTATGGTCAGAGACGTGTGCCGTGGACAAATAACATCTTTTTTGAAAAGTAGGTGTTACTGCTCACAGGCTTTGAAACTCCCTATGGAAAATTTCCCAGGAGGGGAAATTTTTCCCCTCATTCCTCTCTTCCTTCATTCTTAGTAGAAAGCTATTAATTATATATAAGAAGATGAATTTGCACTCATGTCTTCAATCTTCATTTGTTGTTATTAATCTTCAACTAGTCACTGTTTAAAATGAGGCTTCATTCACTGTCACCTTTTTGTGTACACTGGTTTTAAATGTTTTCTTTACTAAAACTCTGATTGTRTGTATTTAATGTGTGCAGGAGGGGAGCAGCCAATACCTCTTTGGAATGAGCACGATGGCACAACAGATGGAGAAAAACCAAAAATTCTTCTTTACTCACTGAGCCTGCAGTTTAAGGTAATCTTATGAAGACAAAACAGTGCTGAGGGGTTTTTCTCCTTTCCCTTCATGTCTCTGAACCAGATGCTCATAACTTTGTGCCTTTTTTATCCATCAGGGAATTCAAGTGACAGCTACAACTCCCTCGATGCGCGCTGTGAGGTTTGAAACGGGATTGATAGAACTTGAGCTCTCCAACAGACTGCAAACCAAAGCAATGCCTGGAAGTAGCAGCTACCTCAAACTGTTTGGAAAATGCCAGGTGGATTTGAATCTGGCTTTGGGACAGATTGTTAAACATCAGGTTAGTGCTCAGAATCTTTGCATGTTCTTAATACTATGTGATTCAAAAATTACATAACTAAGTCAAGAGGTTGTTGTGCTGGTTTTTTGTTTTGGGTTTTTTTTTTCCCACACTGTCAATATCTTAGAACTTATTAGCCCTTTTGAACAGTAATAGCCTTTCTTCTGAGTCAAGCTCAAAACTTTTGTTGATACTGATATCATTTTTAGAATATTTGAATGAAATAATAAGAYCAGAGAAGATCCAAACTCTGCCAGACCTACATTTTGACCTAGTTTGTCTGTCTTGGTTTGACAGTTGCACCTCTTGTATTGTTAAACCTGGAATCACTAGTTCTAGGATATGAAAGTGTTTTGTGATGCCTAGAAACAAACAAATAGAAAACTCAGAGCCTATAAATCAAATGTCACAACAGAGGACCTGGCTATATAAAAGTTATTTTAGTTAATCATTTGTGATAAGCAAGGAAAGTAATGTTATGATCAGAATTTAATGCAAGAATATTGAAAATCCTCGAAGGGTCTTTGGCTAGAGGAGAAAGAGGGGATAGGAGACATCTTGTTGTTTTAAGTTTACATTTTGTCAAATGCAGTAATCTGATCCGTTTTTTCTTTTCCCTCTCCCCATCCCTGAACTCTTCCCTGCTGCAAACCTCTCCCTCATCCCATTTTTTGGAACATTTTTAGGTTTATGAAGAAGCTGGTTCAGACTTTCATCAAGTTGCCTATTTCAAGACAAGAATTGGACTAAGAAATGCTCTCAGAGAAGAAATCAGTGGCTCATCAGACAGGGAAGCTGTGCTCATTACTTTGAACAGACCCATTGTTTTTGCCCAGCCCGTGGCCTTTGACAGAGGTAATGTAGAGACAATTCCTACAAATTTGTGTCCATTCTGAGGGAGAGATGGGTTTTTTTTTTTTTTTCCCAAGAAGTTTGATTATTTAAGATCCAACATATTTCATGTTAAGGCAGAATGTTAAGTAGCTGAGAAATTTGGGAGATCTCCACCATGCCAACAAATTGCTAATTCTGTCATCAAACATCATAAATTCCATTTGTTGAGGTGATTAGTTTTCAGATGGTTTGGATGAAGTTGCTRTTGTAAATTTTCCCAGATGAATCAAGCTGAGAACAGGTCTGTGTGTATTTTATTGTATTAACTGATGGTAAATGATGAGGTTTGTCTGTCTTGTCATTTGAAGCATGAGCCTGATCACTGCATCCTGAATGTGTGTRT